TTCCTGTTTGCTCTCAGAGCAGCCGTGCTCGCAGAGGGGCACAGAGGCTCCTAGTGCTGCTGCTTACAGCAGAGAAGAGCCAGTTGCCTCTAGGCCACAGGTTCAAATCCAGCCCAGGGTGGTAACGACCATGGGCCTGAGTCTCCGCTCCTCGGAGCTCTCTCGACTTTGCTCCTGGGTTGGGGGGCCCAGGCCGGGGCTTTGTTGCCAGTTTGGTGGCCTGAATGAAATGGGTCTGGGCGGGGAAGGGAAGAGTGGGAATTGAGCCCTATAGGGGCAGGTTGGAACTGACCCTCTTGGTCGCAGTCTCATGGCGGCTAGAGCCTGGGGCCCTGTTGTGCTGGGGTCTAGAGGGAGACAGGCCCTGCTCCATAGCGCTCACGCTCTCAATACACCAGCCACAGGGGGAGCGTCCTGTCCAGTGCCATAACCCCTGGGCACCTCGTCTGCCGGACTCCCAGGCTCCCCTCTCACTTAGCCAGCCCCATTATGGCAGGGCTGGTTTGTGTCCTGAGGGCCGTCAGTCGCCTTGCCGCAGGGCTCAGCGGGGTTGAGAAGTGCAGGGGCTCGAAGCTAGGCCCCCTGCTCTGTCCCCTGTGAATGCTGGGTGTGCAGGAGGCAGGGGCAGATGCTGGGGGTCGGTGGCCCACCCTGGCTGCATGCGGAACGCAGTGTGTGTGGGGGGCAGCTGGCCATGTGTCCGGGGGCCGATTTAAACCGCAGGATTTGTCCCAGCCACACAAGCGCATCCCCTAGGTGAGGAGCAGAGATTGCCGAGGCTCTGGGAGGAAGCGTCTCCGCCTGGATTTGAACGAAAAGCCCCCAGCGCCGTGTGCGTGCGAGGGAACGTGGCTCTAGCGATGGGATCTCTGGGTCCCATTGGGTGGGAGTCGGTTGTTATCCCCAGGATGAAAGGGAAGGAGACTGCACGGGGGCGCCTGGGCCCAGGTGGCATGCAGGAGCAGCTGGGGACAGGGGGCACCACACCCAGACCTCCCGTTTACATGTAAGCTAGAGAAGGGCTCCCCACACTTTGCAATTGGCAGAACCAGGACCCGTGACCCAGCCACCCCTGCGCCTTGGGAAGGTGCAGATCCTGCTGGGAACTCCCCAGCGGAGGCCATTTCTGATGTCCCGGTCCCCCGTCCCCATCCCAGTGCTGTGTGAGAGTGGATGGGGTGCCGTTGGGCACAGAGGCAGTGTTTGCTGTCGGGACTGGATGTCTGGAGGAGAACTTGCTGCACTGGGTCAGTCCCTACTATGTCATCTGGCCCCATGTCCCCGGTGTAAGCGCCAGGCTCCCTGCAGAGCAGCGTGAGATTCCAGCTCCCCCACGTAGCTGCAAAGCCAAGGTGCTGTGTGGATCCCAGCTTCCGCCTCTCTGCCAAGCAGACCCCCCAGGAAGGGCTGAAACAGGGCCCCTGTGGTTCTCCTGGCCCCCACACCGCCCCCACTGCCCATGTCCAGCGGTGAATTTCACCCAGCACACCGACAGCATAACCCGCCCCGAGCACACCCAGCTTGGATGCAAATTGCAATTTTTGTGGCTTCCTGCCCCATCCCTGTGAAATCAAACCACCACTGGAGCATGCAAACCAAGCATGCAAATTCCTGCCCACTCCGTGCCCCCGGCCTCCAGAGTCACAGTGAGGTGAAGATGATTGCACCGCCCCCCCCCCCCCCCCGGCCCCCGTACAAGGGCCTGGAGTCAGAGCAGCTTGGGCGGAAGCCATGCCTAAGCCTTTGCATTAAGGAGGGATTTCACGTCTAGTGAATTTCAGGGCTGATGGCTGCTGCACATCACGGCTGCTGTCCCAAGCCCTTTCTTTAACACGAGTGCAGGCGGAGCACGAGCGATGCCCTGGCTAGCTCTCCCTAGCCCCAGGCCAGACCATATGTCTGGTGGCCTCTCTCTCTGAAGGCCAGTCGTCCACCCTGCGCTCGTGAGATTTCACAAAATAACAAGCTCGGGCTCCGTTTATTCGCCTGGGGGCTTCTGCGCCTTTCAGGGTCGCGTTTCCCACCCGTTCGCTGCAAATGACTCAAGCTAGAAAGTTATGGATCGTTTTACAACGAGACACGAGCTGCTGCTGTAGTGATCGGACTGCGGGAGCCGGGCCTTTCTGGGGAAAACCACCAACTGTTTGTGAGATGCCCCGACCGCGAGGGTGGCTTTTGTTACCCGGGCCCGTGTTGCTCAGAACCGGCCTGGGGTGAAACCAAGCTCGCCAGCTCTCTGGAGCAAGGGCTGTCTGCTTTGTCCAGCGCCAAGCCCCCTGAGTTGAGAGCTTGGAAAAAATGCCTGGAAGTGAGAGACGGGAGGAGTTCCAGCTGTTTAGCCGATCACAGGATCTAAAGAAGACGCCAGGTACTAAAGGGCCCATGAGCCAAGTGGAGAAGGTGGCACAAAGGTTCCTAAATGTCATTTTGGAACAAGGCACCAGTTTTTAACAGCCGGGGGGATTCACGGCTGGAACTAGCTCCTGTGGGCAGGGATGGAGAGTTTCCATTGCTTGAGGCCAGATCCAGGCTGTTGGCCTCTCTGGCAGAGATCGGAGTTGAGTACCCGGGCGAGCAGGTGAAATGCTCTGGCTGGGGCGGTGGGTTAGATGGGCTCATGGTTCCTTCTGCTCTGAAAATCTAGGAAACACTGATCCTTGAAGGGGTTTCCCAGGCTCTGACATGACACCACGAGGAATTAGCTCAGCTCGCTACCCAGCATAAATTGGCTTCAAACCAGTGTCGGAGAGGTGAGAAAGAAAGCGACCGTGGGCCCAGCCCTCGAACCATCACCTGACCTGCCCCAGAGACGCCCCGGCCATGACTCAGCCCCCACGCCCTGCCCTGTGGCAGAACTGTGGAGGCCCAGCTCACGTTTCAGGATCCAGGCGGCTGCCACCTTCTAATCAAACAGCCTCTTGCTATTGTGGGGCTGGGTAAACAGGAGTGGGAGCTCGGCTGACAATACAGCCACCCAGCCCAGCAAACACTGCTGCTCCCAGAGCCAAGCGACTGGAATCAGCAGCAAACAGGGCACAGCTGCCCCAGGGCACCCCAGCCCTGTCACCCAGCCTGCCAGGGGCCTGGGAACTGGGGGCTAGCTGCGCCTTGAAGAGCAAGCAGAATTAGCCCCATTCTGCGGAGCCCGTGAGGTTTGATAGGGGCTGTTTGAAGTGCTGGTCACATGTCGGGCCACGTTCCTCCCTGGTGACAGGTGACAAGAGGGGCTGCGACCAGGAGACTGGGGCGGTAGCACCCCCCCATCTGCCCCGGGTGCGATATTTGAGCGGGGGGTCCCCGCGTCCGATCTGACAGCCCCAGCGCACTGATGGTGGAGACCTTGCCTGCCTGTCTGGGCTGCTGGGAGCTCGCTGTGCTGGGGAGAGTCCCCCGGGCCAGTGGGATCCGGCTCCCTTGCCTGTAAGCACGGCCTCGTCTGTCAGCCACAGCTAACGAGCTCCCTGCAGGCCTCAGCGCCGGCGGGGGATCACCTGGCCTGCCGCGAAACGCTGGGGCGAGTCCTGTTCTAGTCAGGCCCAGGAACTCTGCAGCTCAGCGGGACACAAGCTGCACATCCTGCCCTGTCTGCAGACGCTCCAGGAGGGCTTAGGAGCTGGGGCTGTGCTTGCCGGAAGAAGCCACACGGGGAAACCACGCGGCTCCTGCACCATGGCAGCTTGACCCGTTTCTGACCCCAGCGAGCTGGCAAGCCGGGCCTGAACCAAAGCTGTGATCGGAGACAAGCTGGGCTCTTGCTCCCCCGCAGCCTTCTACGGGCCTAAAGGGGAAACCGCAGCCAGAGCGATCGGGGAGGGAAGGTCACTTTGTGGCTAATCGACTCTCCCGGCCCCTTCCCGCCACGCCCGCCGGGCCCCTCACAGTCAGCCGGGGATTTTACTCTCTGATGTAGAGAAACCCCCCTCCCCCACCATTTTGCAGAGGGGGAATTAAGGCACAGGGAGGAGCAGAGACTGGTCCAAGGTCACCCTCAGAGTCTGTGGCAGCCCAGGGAACTGAGCCCGGGTGTCCCACGTCCCAGGTTAGACCCCGTCTGCTAGACCCTCCTTCCCCTGCCCCCGTGGCGGGTCGGTGACTAGCGAGGGAGGGAGGGTAAGGAAGGCACTGGCTGGCCCAAGCTGACCTCGGCCTCCGCGGAGACTGTGCCCAGGTGTCAGCTTGAGTCTCAGCCCAGTCAGTTCCACATCCTCACCTGTCAGCACCAGGGCCCAATGACCTGAGGGAAGAGCCAGCCACCCCCGGTAATGAGATCACATGGCTCGTTAGGCAAAACCGGGGCGTGGGTAAAACTGGCAGGGAGCGAATCTCCTTTACTCACTAGCTGCAGATCAGGGCTGGTTGGGAGGAGGTTGCTGTGGGATGAGATCCCGTGTTACTGGCTGTTGGGAAAGCTGCAGGGGATTTGGGTGGCAGGGCTCGGAGAGTATAAATGGCAAGTTCCCGCTGTGCACCAGCATCTCTGCTCCTTGGCGGCCAGCCCCTGCACTGATCTCAGTAAGCTGCTCCCCCCGGGGCTCCCTATCGATGGCCACTTGGGCAGATGGCTCTAGATTTAGGCCAGAGCTGCACGTTACTACCTGCTGCGGCCTTCACCCAGATGTTGTCCCCAGCTGTGCTGCCAGGCCTCTCGCCAGCTGTGGAGATCTCGCTCCAGAACGTACAGCTGTGTGCAGCTGGGCCAATCCCTCGCCAGCTGCAGAGGCCCTTCCCCAGCCCTGAGTCGGAGACGGGCTCCAGCTGTGGTCATTCCTCTCCGGCACGGAGGACATTGCAGCCGGTGGTGAAAATCCCTTTCCAAGATGGTGGAGCTAGTTTGAGACACCCCCGGCACCATCTTCCCTCCTATTCTGTGAGCCTGGGCGAGGGGCAGTCAGCTCATGAGGACAACTCTGTTCCCATTGTCACCACCTTCCCTTCGCTCCCCTCCCCGGCTCGAAGCCTCGCCTCCTACTTCCGCTTCTCAGGTTCACGCGCGGTCCGTGATGGCAGGTCCCCTGGAGCAGTCTCTGGCTGTGATGGTCTCGACAAGTACTTGGCAAAGCAAGGTGACCAATGCAAACTCAGCAAGGCTGAGCTCAAGGAGCTGCTGACCAAGGAGCTTCCGAGCTTCGAGAGCCTAAGTGCCGCAGTGCAGGGAAAGACTGAAACGCTGAGACGTGTTGGGTGATGTCTCAAAGGGGCCAGGGGAATGCGCCACCTGTCCATGAAGGGTGTCAATCAAGGAGCGGGGAGGAATTATTTACCAGTGGCGGGTTGGTCTAAGGCTCAAGGCTCCATCTGCTTTGTGCTCTGGTTTCCAGATGGAGAGGTGGGCTCTGGTCCACTCTCCTCTGCGTAGAGGTCTGTGGTTATGCAGGAGGCCAGGCCAGATGGTCATAGTCCCGTCTGCCCTTAGCGTGGCACATAGAAGAGTAACTTGAATGGGAAGAGAAGCCGCAGACGCCATGAAGGTCCGTGCTATTGTCCTATTTCATGTGCAAAGTGCCCAGATACTGTGGGGATGGGCGCCACTACAAAGCCCTCAGGGAGATCGACAGACAATTGCAGCAGGAAGAAATTAAGAGAAGAAATAGTCGGGGTGAATATTAGGGGAAAGAATCAAAATGGTCACAAGTTTTTGGTTGAACTAGTATTTATGGTGAAACCTGACCATCTTTCAGAACCCGACATTTTCACAAAAATGTACTGATCTTCCTTCCTTCCTTTCCAACTCTGATTGGTCAGTTTAAACAATGTTTTTTTTTTTATTATAAAAGGACTTTTTTTCATTGTCAAAATGTTCATTTTGGAAATCCCCCCCCCCAAAAGAAATCCCCTTGATTTTGGAAATAAAACAATTTGCATTTTCAAAAATTACCAAATTTAAAAAACAAAAAGAAAATTTCAATAATAATAATAAAAAAGCTCCATGGGAAGACATTCAATACACAAAATCTGCCTGTTTCAAGGACTAATCAAATTACGATGCTTTCCAAATTGCCATAAAGGTTGGTCTTTTCCCGCAATCAGAACTATTCAGTGAGTTCTCCAGAAATGCTGGACGCACTCCCACATGAAGAACTGGGCCCCCTAGTCTGCGATTAACAAGGCCCCCGCACTGGTCACGTGTGGGAACAGAGCCTGGGGACTTTCAGCTCATGCTCCCAGATTCAGACTAAGCCCGTTAACCCAGAGGCAGTAGCAGACTTAGCCTTCCAGGTGTGGTGCTCCACTAAAGTGGGACAAAGAGCCAAACACGGTTAGCTCGGGTTACGTGAAGACGTACCATGATTTAATGTTTGGAGGGTGAGAACACCCCAAGGTCTCCACCAGATCAGGGGCTTGTTGTGTTGGGTGCTGCCCAGACATGAGTGATGGTCCCAGAGCCAACGTGCTCCTAGTTTAACTAGACTACAATCAATTCGTGATGGTGAATATTTTGGAAGGGCTAGCGAACCACGTGCTTCCGGACTTACACTAGTTAGACTGTAAAACAGCCTTTTGGGTGGACTGTCCCAGATCGGCCAGCTGGGGGTTTCCTGCACCCTCTTGTGAAGCTGCTGGTAACAGCCACTGTCGGAGGCGGGATACTGGCCGGTCTGATCCAGGCTGCCATGCTCCTAGACAAGACATGCCCAGCAGCTGAACCACCCAAGCGAGTGGTTAGGCGGAGGGAGGGAGATAGCCAGGATATTGGGATGCTCTACCATTGACCGGCTGAGCGTCCGATGGGCAGCCTGGTGGTGGCAGGGACTCCACGTCGAAGCAGGCCGCTGAGCTCACCCGGCGTCTCTCCCCCTGCTTCTCACAGAAACAAATGGACGACGCTGAATTCCAGAAGATCATGAACGACCTGGATGTCAACAAGGACAACGAGGTGGATTTCCAGGAGTTCGCCTGCTTCTTAGCCTGCGTGGCCATGGGCTTCAATGACTTCTTCAAGGATCATCGCCAGAAGCAGCTGCATAAGAAGTGAACCCAGATGCCTGCGGAGCCGGGATTCCCGTGCCTTAGCCCCCCCGTGGCCCCCTTGTTTCCAGTGTAGTCACCTGGGCTTTCAATAAAAGTCTTTCTAAAGATGCTTATGCCAAGATTTTCTGTGCTGGTCTCCAGGGCTCTGTGATCCCAGAGTCTCATCTGAGCCTTTCAGAATCCATCTGATAACGAGGGAAGGGAGCAGTGGCCATGGTAGAGAAGGCTCAGGTCTAACCTCCTGGCTAATTAGCCTTTTAAAATTACTCATCAATTCCCCCTGCCAATTCCTTTCGGGCTAGGATTTCCCATGCTGCATCCCAGCCCGGGGGCGATTGTTTTGGAAACTTTGAGCCGTTTCCGAGTGACGCAAGCAGAAAAGGAAAAAAAAAAGGACCCCACACGCTTGGCTCTGTGTGCTCTGAGCAGAGCCTCGGCACGCTGGTAACTTGAACCGTATGGCCCAATCTCGGGTCGACTCAGCTTGCAAAGCTCTTGGGGCCTGAGCTTTGGTGGCCCACATGCACGAGCAGTGAAGGGCTGTACAAGGCCAGCTTGGAACGATAATCTCGAATCCCCCAAGCTGGGCTGCATTCTCGGTGGGTCCTGAGGCCCCGGTCAGCCGCATAGCCCTGCGGCTAAAGCCTCCCTGCACTGGTCAGTTCCCTGTAGGTTCTTGTGCCACCCTCTCCCGTGGAGGAGCTGAGCACCTTCCCACTGTGCAGTAAGCCACGGGACTAATGTTTGGAGGTCGCCTTCCACCGACGAGCCGGGTCGTTTCGCTTCCACATGATCTGTATTGAGAGAGCAGAAGCAGCAGGCTCATGCAGGGCTTTGAGTTTCTTCATTCACCCGTAGCTTCGCTCACACCGAGCGTCGGTTAATACACACATTGAACCCTCCTGGAGCCACGATTTAGAGCAGGGGGGCCCAAGGCAGGCGGACATGAACCCACGGGGCAACCCTGCCCATAAGGCGGGCATCCGGGCCATGCTGAGAGGGTGAGTGACTGAAGTGACCAGAGTGACCCCTGGATCTGCCATTTCCAAGATGCTGAAACTCTGAAGGCTGATGTGGGACCCAAGGCCAGGGCTGTTTGCAGCAGAGAAGCAGATGAAGGCTTGGAGAGGAATCATAGAATCATAGAATATCAGGATTGGAAGGGACCTCAGGAGGTCATCTAGTCCAACCCCCTGCTCAAAGCAGGACCAATCCCCAATTTATGCCACAAATCCCTAAATGGCCCCCTCAGGGATTGAACTCACAGGGGAGTTAGGGAGGTGAGGTGTCCCCTAAGTCACTAGAGGGACTAGACCCCCTGGGAGAATCTCAGAGGCTGAAGAGGCAGGAATCATAGAAATGTCGGGCTGGAAGGGGCCTCGTGAGGTCGTCTGGTCCAGTCCCCTGCACTCAGGCAGGACTAAGTGTTATCTAGACCATCCCTGACAGGGGTTTGTCCAACCTGCTCCTAAAACCCTCCAGTGACAAAGATTCCACAGCCTCCTTCAGTGATTAGTTCCAGCGCTTAACGACCCTGACAGGCTGTTTTTCCTAATGTCTGATCTAAGTCTCCCTTGCTTCAATTTCAACCCGTTACTTCTAGTCCTGGTCCTAATGGTTCAGGAGAACAATTTATCACGCTCCTCTTTATAACAAGCCTTTACATGTCTGAAGACCATTCTGTTCCCCCCTCAGTCTTCTCTTCTCTACACGAAACAAACCCAATGTTCCTTGTAGGCCGTGTTTTCTAGACGCTCTCCTCTGGGCTTTCTCCAGCATGCCCTCACCTTCCCTGAAGCGCAGTGTTCAGAACTGGACACCGCTCCAGGTGAGGCCTGATCAGCGCTCAGAAGAGCGGAAGAATTACTTCCTATGTCCCGCTTATAACACTCCTGCTGGTCCAGCCCGGAGTGACGCTCACTTTCTTTGCAATGGTATCATGTGGACTCATAGCCTGAGACCCACTATAACCCCCAGATCCTTTTCTGCAATATCCCTGGCTCAGCAGTCCATTTCCCATTCTGTATTTGTGCAACTGATTATTCTGGGAATTGATTCTGGGGTTGGTCTGAATTCCTGCCCCGTAACGTTTTGCACCCGAGCTCCTGGCACATGGAGCAGCCGAGCTGACATGGCTGGGTCTGTGCTCAGGTGTGTGGGTGTGGCTGCAGTTACCCAGGTGTGCCTCAGCTCTGCAATACCTGCTAGACAGGTCTCAGCTCGCACGCCCAGGGCCTCGTTATCGGGCGGCAGGTCTATGCTGGTTAACAGGAAAAGCTGCTGTTAATATTCATGGTTTAAACAACAGCCACAGAGCCCAAAGGGGAAAATGCCTTTTAATTTTGTGGGGTGATACCCGGGGGTCTTGCTAGGCCTGGGAGTCAGTTGGGGGGGGGGGGAAGGATCCACCCCCGAGTGAGGCTTTATCCCTGCATTTTCCACTGACAATTCTCGATCCAAACCACAAACGACTTGCAGTATTTATCCAGCTCCAAAGCACCCGATGGACATTAATTAACCCCGTCCAAGCCACCCAGCTTCCCTTCCCAGGGACAGGACACAACTGAAATAGAGACGCTGGGTGCTGAAGATTGAAATGCAGCTGGCAGAGCCAGCAGGAGGCATGAGAGCAGGGAGGCTGCAGGCTGGCGGGGGGAGGGAGGGTGTCTTCGAAGGGGAATGCAGGTTCTTACAGGTCGGCTCTTCCCAGAGCTGCTGGAGAAAGCAGGCTGCATCCTATTGGGTATAGAGCCGCATTTCCCCTGCCTTCATTCCCCTCCCTCGCTGCTCGGATCCCCTTTCCGCTTGGCTTGGTAAGTTTTCTGGGGATTATTTGGTTTCACTGCACAGCCTTGCTTCGTAGTTGGCTGCAGATGGCACTTTGAGAGGTGTTGGGACTCCCTGGCAGGTGCAGAGTGAGAAGGCTGGGTCCAGCTGTGCAAAACCCACTCCGGACGGGCAACCGGGGCTGGGCCCAGAGCTGCAGACACAGGCTACACAGCCGCGCCCCGGAGCCCGTGGCGGAGTTCAAAGGGGGAGGGGTGTGGCCATTGGGCTGGGGATGGTTCTGACCCATCAACTCAAGCTCTGCTTCCTTGTGTGTGTGCAGCAGAAATCCACGCCTGCATCTCTCACACCTGGCGCTGGCCAGTAGAAAGAGGCACAGTGGGGCAGCCTGACCCAGGATGCCTGGGTTCTAATCCCTGCTTTGCCACTGATTTGTTGCGTAACCCAGAGCCTGTCTTTCACCATTCTGCTTCCCCACAGGCTTCTCCTTCCCAGGGGCGCTGGGGGACGCCACTCTGCTAATGAAGGCACAAAGCAGGCAGGGGAATTACACAGGTTTTTCCAGCCCCATTGCTACTTTGCACTCTCCCTGTGCGGAGCAGAGACTGAGCACCGAGCCTTGCCATGGGGCCCTAGCTCAGCCATGGGGCCCTGACTGCCAGGCAGAGCCCTGCGCAGGACTCGCGGAGAGCCCTGCAGCAGGACTGGGATCCCGCGGGTTGTGCAGGACCCACTGCTGTAATAGCAGGAGTGAGATTAAACCCGTGCAGGGCCCAAGCTGCTAACCCATAACCACGGAGCCAGCCCCAGAGAATTCAGGTCAATGAGACTCGACGGGCAGGACAAAGGCTGTCAGAGCACCAGGAAAAGCCAGATCTGCTCTGGTATCGTCAGTCGCAGGCCCGGCCCCCCAGGACAGGGTTGTACTTGAGGGGCTGGGCTTTGCCTCCCTCTGTCTGTCTCATTCCGGAGGCTACGATCCTGGCATGCCACATTTTTAGTCGATTTCCTGGCAGAGGGGCAGGGAAAAAAACCAGTCACGGCAAGGTCACCAGATAATGTAGCTTTTGCTCCATCAACGTGCCCCAGAGCACAGTGGGGGTGCTGCAAGGTGAGACCTTGCAGGGGGAGGCTGGAGAGTCAGCCCCCCCCCCCCCATGCAGCGCCATGGCCTCTCCCCCAAGCCCTGCACTCTGCGGTCCATAGAGTCATAGATTCTCTGGCCAGAAGGGACCAGCTAGTCCTGGATCACGCGGCCCCAGAACCTCACCCAGGGATTTTGGCATCCAGCCCAGCACTGCTGGCTGAGCTTCAGCTGCAGTTTGAGACAGGCACCCAGTCTTGATTCAGTGACTCCAGGGGACAGAGACCCCATCATAGTGGGTTAAAAGTTTGTGCCGTATTTCTAGGCTGAACGTATCGAGCCTCGGCTCCAGCCATTGGATCCTGTGATGCCTTGTTGTATTAAAGCAGTGCCCGCCTGCTCTCAGAAATCTCTTCCCCACGCGCGTACTCGCAGAGCGGGATCACCTCACCTCCGAACCAGCTCTTGGCTAAAGGGACGGAGCGCCATTCAGCTCACACTGCAAGGCGGGTTTTACATCATTCCGGTAGCTCTTTTCTGCCCCCTCTCAGATCTGCTGGTGGCGGGATGGCGTCTCCGCTGGAACAGGCCCTCGCGGTGCTGGTGGGCACCTTCCACAAGTATTCTGGCAAGGAGGGGGACAAGTACAAGCTCAGCAAGGCAGAGATGAAGGAATTGCTCCTCACGGAGCTGCCCAGCTTTGTCGGGGTAAGTTGAGGGAGATGCGGGTGGGGGGCTGGACCACGGCTGGACCACGGAGGCTGCGCCTGACACTCTCAGAGCCAACAGGCGTCAAGCAGCCAACGTGGCTCCCAGGTAACAACAGTCACAGCTGATGTGGCACGTAGATCCATAGCTCTTCACAAAGGAAGTATGATATGGGGAAACTGAGTCGGGGCAGTGATTTCCTTAAGAGCATGCAGCAGGTCAGTGATAGAGCCCGGAATAGAACCCAGGAGTCCTGGCTCCCAGCTCTGTGCTGTAACCTCGACGCGATCCTTCCTCCTCCCCATCTATCAGCCCATGGAGCCCGGCTTCATATTTGACCAGGGTCCGGGGGCCTAGCTGCTCAGGTTTCACATTCGGTGCCCGTGTTTCTCTCCTCCCCCTGCTGCAGGACCAGGTGGACGAAAGTGACCTGAAGAAGCTGATGGGGAATCTGGATGCCAACGGGGACGAGGAGCTGGATTTCCAGGAGTACGTGGTGTTCCTGGCCCTCACCGCCGAGCTGTGCGACGAGTTCTTCCGGGAGTGTGCCGACGAGAGGAACCGGAAGATCTGAACCTGGAGCTGCCTGCCTGGCCGCTGTGTGTGTACGCATGTGTTGGGGTCAGCACACAGTAAAGATGCTTCAGCCAGAGGTTTCCCTTGTGTCTTGTGAGCAGGGGCTGGGATCGGGCCCCCAGTAGGCTTCCCTTTCCCCCTCATGACGCCCCTGGCTTCCCGCCTGACCCAGAGGCTGCTGACACAGAGATGAAACCCAGGGCCTTCCAGCAAACAGTCCGCCTTGCCCATGAAACCTCCGTGGCAGGAGGAAAAAGGAGGGGGTTAAACCATGTGCTGGGCAGAAAATCCAAGTCTGATCCGACTCACAGGGATCTCACACACCAGGCTGATCCTCACACTCCCTCCCTTCCCAGCAGGCACTCAGATACCCCAGTGACGGGCAGGGTATTGGGACCTGGCTAGAACAGCTGGTGTCAACCCCCCTGAACCCGCCTCCCCCACCCCCGCTGGGAACCTCAGCCCAGCCCCACGAATGGGCGACTGGCTTGGTTTTGCAGGCACGTGGGGGGAGTAGGCGCCTGCTTGCCTGGGGTTAGGCTTGGGGCTTTGCTTGGCGGGGGCCATAGATTCATTGATGCCAAGGCCAGAAGGGACCGCTGTGATCCTCTGGTCTGTGAAACCACTTCCTGCGTAGCTCCAGCCAGAGAACGGCCCCACAGAACTCCTAGAGCAGAGCGTTTTGGAAAACATCCCATCAGGATTCTTAAATTGTCAGTGATGGAGAATCACCCCCAGCCCCGGCCCCTGCCCCTTAGGAAATCGCCCCTCTGGGTAATTACTCTCTCTCTGAAAAATGTACCCCTTATTCCCACTCTGAATGCGGCCAGCTTCAGACTCCAGCCCCGGGCTAGCGTTGGACCTTCCCTGCGTCTTTGCTCTCCTGGGGATGCAGCCGGGGCCCAAGAACTCACAAGGCCGAGCTCCACGTCCCCCCGGCTGCTCTGTTGGGTTCTGGGGCTGTTTGCAGTAGAACACGGTGAGCAGCGCTGGAGGGCTCCCAGACTGTTTAAAGGGACACTGCCCAATTCCGACCCGCCCCAGCCAGGGGTAGGGAATCTATTGTTCTTACACAACACCCTTCACCCCCCCGAGGAGCTCTGAGTGCTGCAGGACACACAGCGTCACTGGCAGCAACCCCACCTCGCTGCACAATTGAGCGTGGGATTTTACGAGCCATGGAAAACAGGCAGAGCATTTTCCTGATTGTGCTAGGTGGGACTCACTGATTGATCTCAGCAGGGGGGAGTCTGCACAGAGAGGGAGGGTTTCAAACTTCAGACCATGAGCCCCCCTCTCTGGCTTGGTGGAGTTATTATTATACAGAGCCAGGAACTTAGTTTTCTTGACCACTGGTCCCTCGCTGTAATAACCACTAGACCCTACTCTCGCCAAGTGCTGGAATGGATCCAAGTTCTCCAAACACCCCCTCCCCTTCCGCAGCATCAGAGCTGGGACAGGAGCCTCGCTGCACTGAGGAGGGGCTAGAAGGCGAGAAAGCTGGGAAGAAGTGCCAAGGGCCTTTTAGGGGAGGGGACATGCACCTGCTGCTGAAACCTGCCGGGTACCCGAGGATGGGAAGAGGACATGGGGGGCAGAATCTAGGGATGGAAGGTGAAGATGACATGTAGGGAACGGAGCTCCAGGGATAAGCTGCCCCTGGCAAACGTCTGCATCACTGTATAGCCATAACCCATCGCCTTCCCTGTCCCCCTGGGATCCGTTACAGCCTTGTCTATCCAGCCCATCATTCAGCTCACGAGCTACTCAGGGCTTAGCCTGCACACTCCCTGCAGCCCCCGTGCGTACAGGTGCCCAGCAAGAACAAGAAAAGCAGAAGCAGAGAGAAAGTCCGGCTCCGCAGAACTGCCGAGAGGGGCTTTTATTTCAGGAGAAGAGCCTTCAAAACAGTTAAGTCTGGTGCTTAATTTGTGCCAGACCTAGGCCCCAGCGCCTCTCTGGGCCTGGTGGGTCAGAGCCCCGGCGCTTCTTTCATTGCAAATTGAGCCCTGGTTAAGGCCCTGCGCAGCCTCAGGTGCCCTGATGGCAATGGGGCTAAGTTACAGGCTCCACCCGGCGCCTAGGACCTCCTCTTCCAACATTAGCAACCCCCCCACAAAGGAAAAAGGAGGCCCCCCCATAAGTCAGTTGATCATTTAAATCTCCTACAAGATGAGAAACTGACCCCCCCCTTCCTTCAGTCCTGCCTGCTCTGAATTAGCCAAGCTCCCCAGTCCCCACCTGCCAGTGCCCAGCCTCAGCTGAAAACCAGAGTAATTTACCACAGTCCTAGGTCCATGGTAAATTCACTCATCTACCTCGAGCAAGATCCTGCATGCAGTGAGAGAACCAGCTTTAAAGTCCTTCATTGAAATGCTGCACCCCAGAGACATCCGCCCAGGCTATTAATAAAGGCCTAAACCACAAACAAAGCCAGCTCTTCTCCCCCCCCGCCCCCTTTAAAACAGCCCTTTTCACTTTTGCCACAACTTCCCCAGCTCTGAAAATACTCAGATTTCTCAGTGCCTTTCCCTACCCCCTGAGCTGGTCTTTTATAACACAGCTGGCCTGTCCACGCCCCTGGGGGGACCAATCAGCTTCCCACATCAGGTAAGGAAATTGACAACAGATTTAACCTATTTCTTAATTGGGAGACTAGATTCAAACTGGGGGGGGAGGGGGTAAGGGGAGAGAGAGTTGCTCTGCTAAAGTGATCTTTAAATCAATTATTTAAAGGTAAAACTGCAGACAAGATCCTCTCCCAGTACAAGAAGCAGCTACATTTCCAGAGAGGGCTGTACACAGCGGCAGGAATTTGTGCTGGTTTTCTGTTTATTTATGATGCATCATTTAAAGAGCTGGGGATTTTATTTGATGTTATTTTTTGTTTGCCAAGGGAGGGGGTAGTTTCATGGCCCTGCGTTCTCCCGGTAATACACCAAGCCTCTGAAGGTTTAATGACACTTCATTATCCAGCCCTGAACCGCCCTCTCAAAAGATGTAAAAAGCTCAGAAATCACCAATGATCTTTTTCCATATCGCGATAACGTCTCTCTTAGCTTCCCAGTGTCTGCCTGCTGTTACCAGAGTAGCTGAACATCTCACAAGTTTTTGAAACTATTTATCTGGGAAGTTTTAACAAGTTTACAAATCCTTGGGGGTAAACACCAGAAACAAAACCATCACTGCCCCGGTGAGCTTTGTTATACAGGAATATAGTCGTGGGCTCTTCCGGTCTAATATGGCATTGCCCTATTGCAGAATGAGTGGCATACGACACTTGGAACAGGCTGTTTGTTGTATCTCACAGTGGTTGATGTGTTTATCCGCACCCCCCTGGGCAGCAGGGAAGTGCTGGTCACCCCCGAAACGAGGCACAGAAAGTGGGGTCAGGAAGGTGCTTAGGCATGCAAGTTTCAGGTTTAGGGGCCTAAATCCAAGTCTTGGCTCCACTATGATCCACAAAACTCCTGCTGAGCCTTGTAGGCACCTAAACCTACCCGGGCACCTAGGTTACTGCCTCTGGACCCCAGCCCCACCGCCTCTGTCTAGGAGTCTGGGCGCCCACGCCCAGAAAGGCCCCTGGACCGGGAGCAGACAGGTGGTTGGCTGTCCCAGTTGTGTCCGGGCGCACCGCCTCGGTCAGGTCCTGTTCAGAAGTGGGCTGGAGGCGCAGCAGCCTGTGCCCATCTTATAACTTTTTGCCCTGTGGCAAGAGCACTCAAGTGGGATATGGGAGACACAGGTTCGATTCCCTCCTCCCCGCTAGAGGGAGAGAAAGGATTTGAATGGAGGGGAAGGGAGAGAAGAACTTTTACGCAGTAAATAAAGGAGTCCAGGACCATCTCGGGAGCTCCTTGGGCCGAGGGATTCATGGAGTCACAGATGGCCAGAGAGGACCATTGTGGAGATCTTGCCTGACCTCCGGGATAACACGGGACGGAGAACTCCCCCACCCCTTAATTCCCAGAGCGGAGCGTTTAGACAGACGCCCAGCCTGGATTTCAAAACTGTCCGGGACGCTGCTCCAACAAGTGCGGCTCAGGGCATGGATTCGAAGGCAATTTGATGCAACTCTTGGGTGGATCTGGCTCGGGGCCATTTCCCAGACCTGCCTGCGATATTAACACCGATGCCTGGGAGAGCCCGTCTGAGTCTGAACCGGGAGCTGGTAAAGCAGGTGGCTTCAGGACGGCTGTAAATACAGGCTGGCTCCTACCTACCCTACACGCCTGCTCACGCTTGGCTCTCCCGGACCCTTAACCTCTTTGTTCGTGTTGGTGAGTTTTGATCCTAAATGCTGCCATCTTTCCCAGAGGGGTTGGGCTTGGCTCCAGAGGTTGCTCCGATGTTCCAGCTATGGGGCTGTGGCTCCCAGGAAGCGATGATGGTGGAGGTTTCGGGCGTGATGGGCCTCCGCGTCTGCCCGCGTGTGCAGCAGCAGAGGGTGGTGCATAGACAGCAGGGGAGAGGGGGAATGGGGAAGCCCTGGCAGAGGAGGGGAAGGAGGGCAGGGAGCCGCCACACCCCTTGCCATGTGCCTTTGGGTGGTCGCTCAGTCTGTCTCTCCGGCTGGCTCCCAGCGCCGGGCGCGTCATTTTCAAGGCAAATGGGGATTTACTCAGCAGCCGCCCTGCCAAAGCGCTGCCTGGCCTGGCCCGGGACCACTCTAGGAGCGATGTATTTTAACCCGCGGGTGGGCAGCTCGGGCCCACCTGCCCCTGCGGGTGGGAGATGAGAAGAGCTTTGGAAAGAGCAGGGTTGTGTCTGTGGCCAGCGTCATCCCTTTGATCCCTGCAGCCTCCATCTTGTCTCCCGTGACCTCTGCCATTCCCCCGGCTGTTCAGAGCAACCAGCTGGTGGCTCCCCCCGAGGCGGGCCGGGCTGAGCTGGGCATTTTCCTGCCTTTGCCCTGCCAGGGTGGGTGTGTTTATCCACCTGCCCGGGGAGGACTGGGGTCTGGCTCTCTGAACAGGAGGGGAGAACTGGCAATAGGGCCCCTCACTCCTGCAGGACCCCATAAACCCATGTCCCCTTTGGAGCAGCCAGGAAACACTGCCAGGAAAATGTCCTGGCCTTGGCCCATGCTGCTTGGCCATCCTCACCATGAAGATTATCTATCTATCTATCTATCTATCCTTCCTTGCACAATGTCTCTTTCTCTCTCTCTCATGTATTCTACTGACCACCAAACTGCCCAAAGCTATCTGAGGGGATTTTCCCTGCAGGACACCCCCCGGCCCTGGCCCTTCACAGTTCAGCTCGTTCGCCTCCTCCGAGCTGGGCGGGCCAGAGCAGGGACGCTGGAGGAGCTGGTGGAAAACCAGATGCTCCTGCCACAGGCCGGAGTGACTCAGTGTGTGGGTGTGCGGAGGGGAAGGAAACACGCCTCTGTGATTCAGCTCCCTATGATTCAAATCCCTTTCCAAAGCCAGGCATCTCCTGGGCTACCAGGTTTGGTTTTGCAGCCGATGCGGGACCCAGGGGCCGTACACAGCTCGATATTCCCAGTGGAAATTCCTTCCTGGGTGGGTGTGTCTCGGTTCGTGCCTCTGTCCCCAGACTGTCCCCCAGGGGACGTATCAGCTGTAGAACATGGCGCCTCTCCCGTGTTTCTGTGTCACAGGGGGAAGGGAGCCTAAACACTCCAGGGCCTGGTCCAAAGCCGGTTGAAATCAAGGGGAAGACTGCAGTGGACTCTGGAGCCACGCTGGCCCATCTGAGCCACCTCCGAGCTGAGCTTGCGGCTGGGTTTCCATTCAAAGGCCAATGCTGGGTTCCCCTCTAGACTCCACAAAGAGAGACGGATTGGCCTCAGAACCGGTAGGCTGGCCTGGGGGACAATGCTGAATGTTTCTGCTGAGTTTGAAACGACTTGGACAGTGGGCGTCCGATTTAGAGACCTCTGAAAACAGAGGTGTCGAGTGAGAGCGAGTGCGTGAGCCTCCTCTGAGGTGCTGGTAATGCCCCCGCCACACAGCCCGGCTTAGCGCTGGCTTGGCTGTCAAAAGGCTCCCCCGCGGTCACAGGGCAAGCTCCTCCGAGCCGCTGTCTCCTCTCCAGCTCGGTGTTCCCTGGCTGTTGCGGCTTCTGTTCCCCTCCGAAGCTCACATCTCTGCTGTGGCAGCAGCCCTCAAGGGCTGGGGACGCTAGAAGGCCCCATCAGGGTTTGGCAGAACAATAACCAGCCTGGGCATGAGTTGTCCAAAGCTGGGAGGGGCTGGGCCTTCCCTAGCGCTCCTGGTTTGGGTGGGGCTCAGGGCTGGGGCAGGGGGTTGGGGTGTGGGATGGGGTGAGGGCTCCGGCTGGGGGTGCAGGCTCTGGAGTGGGGCTGGGGATGAGGGGTTTGGGGTGCAGGAGTGGGGTCTAGGTTTGGGGGGGGCTCAGGGCTGGGTCAGGAGGCTGGGGCAGAGGGTTGGGGTGCGGGCTTATCTCTGGCAGCTCCCAGTCAGTGGCACAGTGTGGGGGCTAAGGCAGGATTCCTGCCTATCCTGACTCTGAACTGCGCCCCGGAAGCGGCCAGCAGATCCGTCTCCTAGGCAGAGGCATGGCAGGTGGCTCTGCGCACTCCTCTCACCTGCAGGCACTGCCCCCGCAGCTCCTATTGGCCGTGGTTCCCAGCCAATGGGAGTGTGGAGCTGGTGCTCAGGGTGGCAGCAGCTTGAGGAGCCCCCTGGCCCCGCCCCCACGTAGGAGCCAGACCTGCTGGCCACTTCCGGGGCGCAGCGCGGTGCCAGGGCAGGTAGGGACTAGCCTGCCTTAGCCCTGCAGCACTGCTGACTGGACTTTTAATGGCCTGGTTGGCGGTGCTGACCAGAGCCGCCAGGGTCCCTTTTCAACTGGGTGTTCCTGTCGAAAACCAGACACCTTATCACCCTGAGCTCCCCGGGTTGGTTCCTCTACACGCCCCTCCCAAAGGGCCCCCCACGTTCTCTGTCTCCCCAGTGCGGGCGTGGTCTCTGCTAAGCCTACTGCTCTGCTCCTGCCTTTCAGCCCCACCAGGCGTCAGCTATGGCAGGTCTGCAGACCCTGCAGGAGGCGCTGGCTGTGCTGGTTTGCACTTTCCAGCGCTATTCCAAACAGGAAGGTGACAGATTCATGCTCAGCAGAGGGGAGCTGAAGGAGCTGCTGGAGAAGGAGCTGCCCAGCCTGGGAGATGTGAGTAAGCATGCGGAGGAAGAGGGTGCCGAAGCAGGCTGGAACGGAGCCGTTGGGATGAGACGAGAGCAGTCTCCACCCCGAGCTGGTTCCAAACCATGAATGACAATAATTCCCCGCACCTAGAGGCCTTAGCTGCACAGATCCAGCAGGAGAGACAGTCCTGTAGCTCACAGACTAATAGACCCAGGGTGGGAGGGGAAACAGGCATGGAGAGGGGAAGTGAGGTGACCAAGGTCGCCCAGCAAGTCAGTGCCAGAGCCGGGAAAGAGCCCAGTTCTCTAGCCAGAGCCCTATCCACTAGGTCATGCTGCCTCTTGACTTTTTTATTTGTTTTCAACATCTCTTTCCTTGTCACCTATATGAATCCCCACCAGCTCCGTCTGAGCCCCGGGTCTCCAGGACCAAAGCCTGGACTATCTGCCATTTGAGCGAGAAGAGTAGCCCTGGTAGCAGATGACAGTAGTAGGCTGTTATCCTCTGTGAGGACCAGGCTCTGGAATGGGACATGATGATTTACACCTGCTCCCCGGGGTTCTGGCTTGGACTGGAAGCAGACCCTGCGCCTCGCTGTATAAATGCTGCCCAGCGGCCATGCGCCGGCGCCAGGCTGTCACCCGGGGTTACGCCAGCTCTGAGGATAGTTTGGTCTCATTTCAATGTCTTATGAGCCAAGTTTGTGGGATGTGATCAGCCCCTTCAGAATCTGGCCTGGCCTGTGAAAACCAGGCGGGGAGAGCGGGGTACCAGCCAACTATCCCAGCATTTCATCGCAGGGCAGACGAATGATAACCAGGGAAAGTGTCGAACTTCCGCAACACGCTCGGGACGGACATTTCTTCCTCAGCTCATTATTACCTAGGTTCCGGTAGCACCGTGCGGCCCCATGTGCGATCCAGGCCCATTGAACCAGTGCTGTACAAATGCATCGGGAGAGACAGTTCCAGTCCCGAAGAGCTTAGAACGTAAATAGACTAATTATTGGTCCCTTATTACCCCTGGGGAGTAAAGCTCGGAGCGGTTTGCCCACGGTCCGCCACAGAATTTGTGGCAAAGACAGGACTTGAAGGCGGGTCTCCTGAACCCTAGCCTATTGTTCTAACCACTAGGTGATCTGTCCCGTCTGGCCATCACCAAGCTTGGAAGACTCCTGCCGGGGTTTCACTTGCCCCGTTACTGACCTTCACTCTTGCCCCTAGGTACAAGTGAAGGAAGGCGCCTTTGAGGAACTGCTGAACATCCTGGATGTGAACAGAGACAGGGAAGTTGACTTCCAGGAGTACATCCGCTTCGTGGCGGTGGCCTGCACCTTATGCCACGAGTTTTTCTTGGACTCCCCTGTAGTTCTGCCACGTGGACAATAAACCCACCCAGCTGGCTCTGTACAGGGCATGAATACAAAGCAGGAGAGCAAAATTATAGGTCTGGCAGCAACCATGCAGCTACCTGGGAACCTCACGCTGGGAAAGGTCGTGGTGTGTCAGGGATTGAACTCACGTCTCCCTGACCCAAATAGCACAGAGCCACTTCCTTGAGCTAAAGGAGACTTTCCATCAACTCGCAGCAGTAGAGCACTGTTTCTCAGTCCTGGAGAGGAGGGTCATGAAAGGCAACCAGGGGGTTCGTGAGGCTTTGAAAAATTTATTACAGTCTAAAGCAAAGCAAATCTCCTTTCCCCACTCCCAGCAGGCCCTGGTCCATCCAGTGAAGTGCGCTCTGTCAACCTCTCGATACACACCCACACGAATCAGTTATTGGCTTAACTTATACACTGTTGTACTCTTGCTTTCATAGTGAATGTGTTGTGTGCTGGGGAGGGGGGCGTCACATACATTTCTGACTGAATGAGGGATTGCCAGCCTGAAAAGGTTGAGCAACGCTGCAGTACGGGGTTTATGACACACGGTTGAACTGAGCTGATTGCATCCAGCAGAGGGCAGCTGCACTCCAACCCCTATACGAGTTCATGACAAGAAATTCCCAAACAGGATTAAGTTACACAACCCTGAATTCCACTGCACAGTCCTTGCAGTTATGAAATATTAATAATTTGCATCTCAGTTTAGTTAAATAATATCATGAGCAGGGCTCCGGAGATGCACCAGTGTTTCCAATCTCAGAGGGGTTTTTTGGCCATATTTGCCCTGTTCAAAATTGACTGCCATGAGCACGGAACGTGTCCAGGGCTAACAGCTTAGTCAGGACCAGTTCCTTCCGCCACGGCAGGGTCATCTCCACTGCAGCCGTGGTCGAGACGTCTCTGGGTTTTCTCTCCTGACTGTGGATTTTCTTCGCTTGTCCTGTCAGGCTGGCTGGTTTGAAATATGAATAAAGACTTCGTATGAACCCGGGCGTGGTGACTGTTCAATACATGGCTGGCCAGGTCCCCCCAGAATGAACGTGTGGGACGACAAGACAGACCTGGCGTGCTGGGCGCTGTGACACTAGGGTGAAGGAGGCCTATATAAATGCTTAGGCAGAGAGCTGGCAGGTGCATTTAGCTCGAAGCTGCAAAGTCATGCAGGTCTCCGACATCTCTGTCACCACGCAGAGGCGTAGTGTGGAAAGGGCTTTGAAGATGCCAGTCTCCCGAATTCCCCCATGCACCCTTTGTCCAGCCCTACTGATTCTCCATCCCATCTAGGCAACTCTTCCCCCTACTGCCACTCCCTGGTCTAGCTAAGGCCAGGAATCAGGATTTCATGGCCTGTGTGGCTGGCGGCTCCCCCTCCCCACTCCCCAGCCTTCCTCTCTCCTAACCAAGGATGAAAGTTCCTCTTTGCCAAACAGCTGGAGAGCATCATCAAAGGGCAGGGGCGGGTGTGTGTGTGTGATGGCCTGGGGGTACACGTGTTCTCCTGCCAGCTGTCTGCAAAGGGACGCACACTTTTGTTGGCCTCTTTTTACTTCTAACCCCCCAAGCGGGTGTCCCTTAAAGCTCTCACTAGGGCTATAAATACTGAGCCCTGTTACTCAGACTCCACGCCGGCCCTGCCTTCCCTTGCTTTTCTTCCTGTTTGGTTGCCTGGGTAAGTTTGTTTTCTTCTAAGATGTTCTGGTGGCTACTTTTATTCTTTGATGCCAGCAGTTTGCATTTCGGGTCTGCCTCGATGTTGGTGGGGAGGAGGGGGGGGCTCCCCTGGGCAATCGGGGGAGGGGTCTGGCTTTGAGGGCTGCCGAGCCAACGGTTTCTGTGAGTCCGCAGGGAAAGCCAGTCACCAACTTTCTGCAGCTGCTGAGCCGTCAGACTTTACTGCTCTTTGCATCTGGCTTCTTCTGAGACCTCTGTGCTGCTCCCGTCTGTGGGGAGGCAGAGTCACTCCAGGCCCAGCTCTGTGCGGGCTCTAGCAATGGCCACTAACCGTCCCCTTCGTTCCAGGCAGGAGCCAGGAATCAGTTCTTGCAGCTGAACTCAGCCAATGCACATGGTGCGGCTGGAGAGTCCCTTCTTCTCAATGGGGTTTTTTTCCTCCATCCCCTGCTGCCACCGCTCCAAGTTTTTCCCCTCCTCGCCTCAGGGCTGGTATTCGGCCCCAGGGCCAGGAGCCCACACCTGACCTATGCTGTCAGTAGGAGAGCAGTGGAGGCTGGAGGCATCGGAAGGCAGGAAGGAGTGACACATCCCTGCGCCCTGCCCGGGGGGTGCATCACCAGGACGGAGCCTGCTCTGGGGCAGACCCTGGGATGGTCGGTGGAGCCACTCTGGATTGAGTCCAGTGTGATGGAGGTCAGGAGCTGCCCCGCCGAGTGGCTGACATGCTCCTGAGTTAGTTCTAGCCCATCCTCCGAAGGAGGGCGTGACTCTCTCTGCTGGGACCTGTGGGACACTGCACTGGCCAGCTAATGGAGGCAGATGGCACCCACATGGACGTATAATTAGCCACGTTTCTGCACCTTTGTGGGCTGAGCTCTCAGGTCACCGCATGGGCTGTTGTTGTTTAAGTGATCATAGACTCGTAGGACTGGAAGGGACCTCGAGAGGTCATCTAGTGCAGTCCCCTGCATTCGTGGCAGGACTAAGTATTATCTAGACCATTCCTGACCAGTGACTGTCTGTGAGGCATAATGCTTGTAGTCTGCAGGAAGAGGGTTATCATTAATATGGGGCTTCTGATTGGCCATAAACACCTCTTGGCCAGGCCGGAGTTCTATATGTGGACTTTGGAAAGTCATTGGAAAGGCAAGACCCTAGCTGTGCGATGGGGCAACAGATCCCTGTGTCTAGCTACCTTGTCTTTCTGCACCCCATTACCACTGGGTCCGAGAGGCTCCCAGTTATGAAAACAGAAGCCCCTCGCCCCATTGTCTGTCTTGGTGTCTCTTTCCTCGCTGGCAATGCACAAGTAAACCCACACAGGCCGTGCTCAGCTCACTCAGCAGAGCTCATTCCTTCCTAAAATGTAACTTCTTTGTCCTGGCCTGGCTGGTTTGTGCTCCCAGGTGGGGTGGACCCGCCCTCTAACCAGCATCCCTTGTCTGCCTGTCAGATTTGCTAGCAGAGAACGATGGCCATGACAAGATGCCATGGAAGATGTGAAGCCCGGCCCTGGAGGCAGCGGGGAACAGACATCTAGAAACTCAGCTCCGGGGGCTATATCTGGGTTGTATCCCTGCCGTTCCCTGATGATAGCCCCCTGCCTTATTGTCCGTCACCTCCCATAGCCCCTGCATTATGCGTCTCTTGTTCTTTCAATAAAGGTTGCTTTAAAGAAGGTCCCTGGTGGATTTTGTAAGCAGACTTTTTTCTTGGTGCCCAGATGCTGATGGGCAATTTCTTTGTTGCCCTGGGTCACAGGCATGGGTAAAAATAGAACCATGTCTGATCCCCGCCCTCTGAGTCTGGTCTGGTCTGATGACAAAAAATGAATCCTGCAAAACCCCAGGTATTTCCCCTCCTCCCGTTGCTTTTCCTGCTGAGTCTCAAAGGGTTAACAGCACAAAGAGCTAACAGTCCTAGAGCCTGGGGGTACATAGAGGATAACAACCTACTACTGCTGCCAGCTAAGAGAATTACTCCTTTAGCTCGTGTGGTAGAGGTCTCTCCTAAAGGTCTGGGATTAAAACCCTCTGGGTGACCCATTATAAATGCAAACCCTCATTTTTCAGGAATATTTGGTGTGGGGGGTTAAATTGAGGTGTGATCTGAAGCTCACTGCCGTCCATGGGCCTCTCCCCCTGGGTGACCTTAGAGAATATGGAATAAGCAGCAGCAACCCAGGCCCTGAAGCCCCAAGAAGATGCAGACAACCCCAGTGGTGGGTGGGTAGCCAGGCAGAGCTGCCCCTGGGGCTGATGGACCTCAGAGTTTGGCCATGCAGAGTGAACAGCAAATGGGCAGGGATGGGCTGAGCTGGGGAGAGCTGAGCTGGGATAAAACAGAATTTGCTGCACTTTCAGTGGGTTGCAATGGCGCTGAGCACGGGGCATTCCCCACCTGTTCCCGCCCCCAGGCCCCTGCAGGCCTTTCGACCAGGACCCTTTCAGCAGAGCCTCCTGGGGCCGGCTTTTGTGCAATGTGAGGCCGCTGTTCTCTGAGCACCCTGAGCCATATCGGCTTCAAAGGCTGGAGCAGCAGCCCAGGGTGCATGGGGGGTGCAGGACCCCCCTTCGGATTCTGCTGCTCCAGGAGCCGGGACAGGCAGCCTGGTGGGACGGGCCGACCCACCTCAGCACCCAGGGTTCTGGGGGGAGGGAGGAGCGCTTACAGCACGGCCAGGCCGGGGCTTCAAAAGTCGTGAGATTTTTTGTTCAAATAATGAACGCAGGAATCTTTATTTGTCTTCTGGTCTCAGAGATGTGAGCAGCCACATTTCCAGCTGGTCTCCGCAGCCATGCGGCCTAGACACCTGATTGTGTTGTAGGTGGAAGCTGGGATTCGCAGGTGATCAGATGATTCCAGCAGCTCATGGCTTTAAGAAACCCTGCCCCAAATCACAAGACTCCCGGTCAGGTTGCAGGAACTGGCAACGCAGCACAGATGTGTCTTGTCTGAGCCAGACGGCAGGACCAGACGCCCCTCGTGACTGCTGTGTATTTGCAATGCACGCCAAGCACAAAAGCTTGGTTATTCTATCCAGAGCCATCCGCCCACCTCCCAGATCACAATGCACCCCTTTGAGTCCTGTTGCAGTCAGGACACTCTGGGAGCCCCCCCCACCCCGTTACACACCCAGGGCAGGCTCACCATTGTCCTGTGCCTCCAGCCGTCATTTGCACCAGTGCACACAAGTGGGCATGCAAGGCACTGTGCCAACCTGGCAGCCTCACGCCCACTGCTGCAAATGACGGCAGCTGCAGGACAGCAGTGAACTGAGCCCTGAGGGTCTGTCTTCACGGCAGAGTTACCCCAAGTTCTCACCCTGTTCTCCTGTCCCCTCGCCCCTCTCTTTCTTGTGGCTTGCAGTCTGGACTAGCTGGCCTGGCTGGGGGCTGCGGGTGGGTTCCACTCGGGGTGGCAACTGCAGGCTAAGCCACTGGACTGCTGATAGTCCCCCAATACCTGTCCACAAGTCCTCCTGTACCGCGCTCAGCAGGACAGACAACTTCTCCCACAATCCCTTGGGAAAGAATCAGAGTGGCTCCGTTTAGCACGGGCTACGGCCCCTGAGGTCCCAGCCGGGCTGACAGCACACACTGGAGAGCGCAGGCCCCGTGGGGACACGGCCACTGGGGCAGGGCCTGGCACTGAGGCGTCTCGCTCCCGGGGGCTGATCACCCGGGCTGACTCTGCGGCGGAGACCTGTCCTGAGCGTGGCGGGAGCAGAGAGAGGACACGGGAACCGTGCGTGACAGAACAGCCTCCTCCCCAGAAGCCCCCACTTTAGTAGGTCTTCCCCATGCAACACGTCTTGCTCCTCCCTAGCGATCGGAGGACCACGAATTCTCTGAGCTCAACTTTGCACTGAGCACCTGCCCTCCAGATCTGTTATTGCCCCCCCTTATTTCTTCCCCTGACCTTTCAATTCTCTCTCTGCTCTTCCCTTCTTGCCATGGCCCTTTGCATCGTCCAGCTACCTTCACCGCAGGAGCTCTCCCAAACTTGCTCCCCAGCCTCCGGCTGCTAAGCAACAGGTCCCCCGCCCTCCTGTGCATCGTGTTCACTGGGAATCCCCTGTCACCACAGGTGGAGGTGCCAGGCAGCAGCTGCTGCTGCTGTGGAAGCGGGCGATAGTGCCCTTGTTGTTTCCTTTAACTCTAGGCCCAGCCTCTGCCCATAAAATTGGGCCTGGGTGGAACCATCTCCCCAAGCGCTGTTAGCGAGAGGCATTGCCCAAGTCACTGCACACAAGGGGCTGGCTTCTGCTGAGTGAATCTGGAGTCACTCCTTTGACTTCAGTGGAGTCACTCTGGATTGACACCGGTGTAACTGAGAACAGGACACGTCAGAGGCTCACCTGGACAGCGGGTGTGGGGTTTGCCCATCTGACCTGCATGCCTGGTGCATCACAGGAGAAGGTGCAGGAGAATTCAGATCTGAGTCCAGGCAACACCTGAAAACATCTGGAGAGCAATGGGCAGGGAGGTGGCAGGCAACCAGGATCCTGGCAACAAGATCAGCTTTCCATTGCGCCTCTCCCAGGCTAGAAACCAGGGCTCCCCCAGGGAGCTCAGAGCATATAAGAGGGAGCTTCCCAGCCTACCATGCCCCGGACTCTCCGCTTTTCCTTTTGCTCTCGTCTTGGTAAGTTTGTTCTGTTTTATAACATTGGCTGTTGTGGCCTTTAACAAGCTGACTCTCCAGAGCGCAGTCTCCCTCCCCTCTCCAGATGTGCCACACCCTTGGCAGCATGCCCAGGGTTAGCCGAGCCTCTCCTCAGCTGCGCATGCCCCTCCCTGGCACACAGCGTTAAGCGTCCCTCTCGCCAGATGTGCATGTCCCTTTCCAGATGTGCACCCCCCTCCCTTGCAGGCACAGTACCGGGGAACCCCACGCCACACCTGTGCAGACCTTTCCCCCCGCCCCCCAGCCGGTATTCACAGAGCCAGAGGGCGGCACTCTCCAGGAGGCGCGGGCTGAGCTGCAGGGGACGCTGGCTGTGAGACGCTTCTGGGCGTTGGCCCAGTGTCCTCCGCGCAGTTCTCCCCTGGCTGGCTGATCTCACCTGCTTTCTGGCTGGTGCAGGCCCGGCTCCGGCTCTTGAGCTGGGAGATACTGGTGCCACACCGGTTATGTCGCTAACACCTGGGGGTCCCAGGGAAGGTTGCTTGGCTCCCTCCTTTGCATGCTCAGTAGCAGACCTGGCCTCACCCGGCGGTGCTGTGCAGGCTCCATTCCCGGGACCCTGGTTCCTGTGGCCCCTTTGGACTCCTAACCGGCTCTAAGGGAAGCTACTTTTCTGAGAGCCAGAATTTTTTAAACTCGTCGTGGGACTGTTGGCTTGAGATTCCCAGGGGGATTCCTGGCCTGCTACAGCAGCAGTTTTCCTGTTTGCCTGGATGCTCTGTGGCTCATTTTCCAGAGGCCGGGTTGGCCCTGAAGACTGGGGGCACGGTGGCATTTCCCTCCCCTCCCCGTCAGGTTTTGGATATGCTCCCAACTCACCCCCCTTGTTGGAGATTCCTGCCTTGTTAACTCATCCTGAGTTTGGCTGCTTCCCCCTGCAGGATCTTTGCTGGTGCCCTTAGTTCCCTCTGTCCTGGAGAGATTTTCAACATCTGAGCTGGTGGGATTATAATTGGAAGGGGACGGGGACTGAGAGACTGAAGAACGCAGATTTGATTGGAAAATAACAAAATTTGACGCCAAATTCCCTTAAATGCCTTTGAAATTCCCAGGCAGTAAGACCCACCTACTCTGGTTGCTAGTGTGAGTCAAGAGAACAGCTCTGCATCTCTGGGCAGGGCCTTAGCCCCAAGACGCCCAGCTGCACCCTCCCTGTGGCTAACTCCTATTGCTGGTGTTTACTCATTTTATGGCTTAATGGCTTTGCAATGCTCTGAGGCACTAAGCCCTGTATTTTATAGCTCCTGACTTCCTATGAGCCAGGCTGTGATAAGAGAAATGGATGATCCAGCATGTGCAACTGCCCTGTGGCCCTGGACAGGACCTTCCCCATAATCCTCACTCTTAATTGTTAACCACCCGTCTGCCAGGCAGCTTCCCCTTTTGTTGTTATGGTAGCACTTAGAAGCCCTCTCCAAAGAGCCTCCAGTCTGAATAGACAAGACAGGCAAAGGATGGGCTATAACAGAGACCCAGAGAGATGAGGGGATGTGCCCAGGGTCATGCAGGGAGGCAGTGACAGAGCAGGGAATTGAAGCCCGCTTTACCTGGGCCGTAACCAGTGAGCTAGACGAGAAACGGGCCACGGCAAGGCATGGACAGCGCCACCTGAGCAGCTAAGGGCCATCCCCCGGGGGGATATGAATGAGGGGCCCACGTTTCCCATCTGTCCCTGCAACGAGACACAGCTGCATCTAACAGGTCTGCTGGCCTCTTCCTTCCTGGGCTCTGTTCATGGCAGCCCAGGCAGCCGGCAGCCCCGAATGCAACAGGCTTAACCACCTTGCGGCCGCTTCCTCAAATGCAGCATGTGGTTGGCCACCGAGGCTCCACTTCACTCTGGCTCCCCGTGCCATGATTCAGACCTCCTTCTGGAGCCAGCTTGCAGCTCACACACTCCCGGAAGCGGGCGATTTGCTCTACCCAGGTACTGAGCACAGCCAGGCAGATGGTGCAAGCACTGGGCAGAAAGGAGGAGGCTCGATGACAGGAGAGTACGCAGTGGTGGTGTAGCCATGTCTGTCCCAGGGTACTCGTGAGGTCCCAGCTTTTACTGGACCAACTTCTTGTCTCTCTCATGATGTTGGTCCAAGAAAAGCTATTCCCCCTCCCCACCTGCAGCCTGTCTCTTGAACAGGACAATATGGCTTTTCACGGCTTCTTCTTAGCATATGTGCAATGTGCTGTTGGTGGCCCATGACTGGGATTCATCACCAAATTTGGTCCGATCGGATCATTAGCATCCCTGGCTTGGGCTGGGTACTGACAGGGAGTGCGACGTGAACGCTGATCCGCGCCCCCAGGAACTCTCAAAGGGACCTCCCTTCCAGGGGCTGGGTGCGCAGCCACAGGTGTGCACATCTGGCTTGTTGGGGGTACGTGGGGTTACATTCCTGAGCCAGCATCTGGGACTTGGGGGTGTGTGTGAGAATTCTCTCCAGAGACCAAACCGTGGCCTGTTAGCAATAATCGGCTAATCTCCCAGCGTAACCGGCGCAGATGCCTGTTAACTAACATTAGCCAGAGAGCACTAGAAACGTGCAAAGCGCCGTGGAAGGTTACTGCTGCTCCGGACTGTGCATTCACCTGCAGCCCAACAGCATCGGTGGAAGGGTGGGCTCGTGGTCAGGGCACTGGGCTGGGACACGGGAGAAGGGTTTGATTCCTGGCTCTGCCGCCTATGACCTGGGGCAAACCACTGACTCTCTCCGGGCCTCCGGCTCCCACCTGTGACATGGTCTGGTGTCTGTTTAGACCCAGCCCCCAGGGTCCCTGATCTTGGTGGGTACCACTGTCCTACCCTGAAGAATGAAGCTATTGGCTGGAGAGCACTTTGAAAAAGGAAAGTGCTGTGTTGAAAGCTAAGTATTAGAGCTGCAGGGCTGGTATCTGACCGCCACAGCCTGTCTGCTCCTAGCCTTGCTCACGGGGGCTTGTCTGCACAGTTCTTCCTGTGGCGGGCCCCGTTTCACCGCAAGACCGTGCCAGGCCCTGTTCTCTCTTTCAGACTGATGTGGACGTGCACCATGGAAACGCCTCTGGAAAAGGCCTTGGCAACCTTAGTCTGCACCTTCCACAAGTACTCGGGGAAGGAAGGCAGCAAGCTGACCCTGAGCAAGGGGGAACTGAAGGAGCTGGTGAAGAACGAGCTGGGGCTGGGGGATGTGAGTGCTTCGGAAAAAATTTTGGGGGTTGAAAAAAGAGCAACTTTTTGGATCAAAATGAGCATTTTGGTTCTGATCAAACACTCCTGTCTTTCTCCCCAAACTGATCCAATCTGAGATTTTTGCAAAACTGAATTCTGAATAAAATTTTGGGGCTTTTTTCATCCAAAACATGAAAAAAAAATCCACAGGAAATTTAGGATGAAAAAATGAACATTTTTCAAAGCTCCCCCCCCCCAGTTTTTTGGCCCAACCAACTGGTCAGTTTGATCTTGTGAAATCAGACCCCCGAGGTCTGATTCGCAGATCCCTGTCCCTGTGCTTGGGGGATGGATGCCTTCCCCAGGGTTGGATTTGGCCTGGTATCTTTGCCCACCGTGCTCATTTCAGGCCTGGGGTTTGTATTCCTCCCAAGGAAGCTTTGCTCCAATTTAGCAGCTGCCCCTCCCAATTCAGCCCACTGCCTGAGTGGGAGGGAAAGTAACATTAATGTCTCCTCCCTGTTCTGTAGCATGGTTAGCAGCGGCCCAGGAGCCAAGGCTCCAGGTTTCACTGCATCATTAACGAGCCAGATTACAATAAAGGGAAAGAAAAACCAGCACCTGGGGCCAGTGCAGATCCCTGGAGGTTTTATCTAGTCTGTTTGGCTTCTCTCACCCTTTCCTGCAGAGAATGAAGGAGGGAGGCATTGAGCAGCTCATGAAAAGCCTAGACCGGAACAGCGACCAGGAAATCGACTTCAAGGAATACTCGGTTTTCCTGTCCACCTTGTGCATGGCCTACAATGACTTCTTCCGGGGAGGGAGCAAGTAGCTGGGGGGAGGAAGGGGGCTTAGACCAGGAGGCAAAGCCCCTGGCTCTGGATACTGTCCGGCTGCTTTCAATAAAAAGATTTCTGTCCACAGTTCTCCCAGTGTTCTGTGTTTCCTCCTGTCCAGCATTCCTTCCGTCCACCGTTCTGTACCATCTCTCCAGGCTAGAATATCTCGTGCCAGACAGATCTCTTTTCTCTTTGCCTGTCTGCCCCTACATTCCCCATGCACCTCTATCCAGCCGTCTAGGCTGCGGGGGCAGGGGCTGTTTCTCTGCGTCTCTGCAGGCCCCCGCACAACGGCCGAGAGCCTCGAGTTAGTTCGGTGCCTAACTCCCAACGGATCCCTTTGAGAATATGGGTGGGGCCCTAATCTCAGTCATGGCTCCCAGGGGCACCTGTACCTGTAACAACAACACACCTGGGCCTAGGCTGTGTCCAGGCTCTCGGGAGGGAGCTGGGCTGGGAGGTGACTCCCAAGGTGAAGGCCGACCTGCGGCTGGATGGGCGGCGCTCTGGGGTCTGGGGCGGGTCTGTGTGTCTGGGGGAATTCCCAGCGCTCTTCATCGGGGTCCCGTGGGTCACTGAGGGCAGCCCCCCGGGCTATCCTGCCTCACTGGTGCCCCTGGCTTCTTGCCCCGGCGGGAACCTGCCTGCATTGCAGACCACACCTTGCCTTCCCCACCGGAGCCTTGGCACCCGCCTGCTGCAGCCCAGCTGGGCTAAGCCGGAGGCAGGGAGCTGGGCGAGGCGGGGAACAGGGAGAAGGGGCCCGGGCATGTCCAGGACAGGGCATACTGGGGGCAGCCACATGAGTGGGCGGGGCTACGGGGACAGAGGGGGCGTGGCCTCCCCCGCCACACCCAGCCCCCCTCTCCCCGGGGCAGTGGGGCGGGCGGCGGGGCTGGGCTCCGGCCCGCTATATAACAACCGCCCTCGGGCGGCTCCCGCACCCCAGCCCCGCGCCGCCTTCGCTCTCGCAGTCTGCTCCGTCGTCTTGGGTGAGTCCGGTTCGGTCCCCTCCTTCCGCCCCGGACCGGGCGGGGGGCTCCCCTTTCCTCCCTGCCCGCAGCTGAGCCCCACACCCCGGATCCGGGTCCGGATCCGTTCCCTGGGGCTCTGGACCCCCGCAGCTCCGGGAGCTCCGCGCCCGCCGGGCTTGCCCGATCCGTGTTCACACGGTCCGCCGCTGCGGGCAGCCCGAATCCGGCTCCGCTCCGCGCCGGGCGCCCCGCAAGCGGCTGCGGCCCGGGGTCTGCGCCCCGGCGGCCCGGCTCGGCGCAGAGGGAGGAAATCTCCGCCAGAGCCGGGCGGGGCCGGGCGACTCCCAGTCTGCGGCCAAGTCACTTACGCAACAGCCCGTCGCCTCGGGTCTGGTTTTCCTGGAAGACCTGGCGACCGCTTGTGGAAACGGGGAGAAAACCGTGGACCCGCCCCCGCTTTATACCGAGACTCGCTGTACAAGTGGGTGCCCCGTTGCGTGGAAAGAGGCTGGTGGGGGGGCTGCAAGAATCCCCTCTGCCCCCTGCTGGGCCTCGGGGCTGCCGGAAAATGACGGGGGGCAGACGGGTGGGGCAGGTTGGTCCCCCATGGAAGGAAGGACACAGACCCGAGACCAAATTCGGCCCTTGGTCGCCCTCCTTTGGTCTCTCTGGTTGTGCCATAGAGCCCCTCACCCTGGGGTCTGGTCACCTACAGTCTCTGCTGTGAGCCCCTGGAGCCTTTCCTCTCCATCTGGCATCTGACCTTCCCCCGGCTCTGGGCTGAGCTCACCCCTGGGGCTAACGCACCAGTGGGGAGGGGGGTGGTTTTGGGGTGAGACACAACGACAAGAGAACCTAACCAGCTGTCTCACCCAACGCCCACGGACGAGCTTGGGAATCTGTCCGCTGAATTCAGTGCCTAGCGGACCAAGGCCAAGATCTGTGTAAATTTGAGACAATCCCTCAATCTGGCCATTCACTCTGTGCAGGTCCCTTCCCCCAGGCCTGCTGTCTGTTGGCTCCCTCCCCGGGCACTGAAGGGCATAAACTCCTCTCCCTCCATTTTCTGGGAATGCCAAATTTATGCCGCTCTCCTGAGAGATGCTGGGCGGGAAGCCAGGTGAAAGAGCCCCCGGTGCCTTGGAGTGCTTCCTGGATGGGGAGCAGAATCCTTTGGGGCTGAGTTAGGGGGAGTTCCCCAAACTTCCCAGCTCCTTGGGCTTGCCCGCTTGTCCTGTTCATTCGGGCTTGTCTCTGCCCCCCAGGGCACGGATTCCGGGGATGGCTTTACTCTTCCAGTTCTAGTGCTTCTGTTTCCAGAATGGGTCCTCTGTTCCCCTGTGGCCTCGCTCACCAACTGTCTTCTCCCCTCAGATCTACCCACCACAGACCTGCAGAGATGGCATGCCCTCTGGACCAGGCCATCGGGCTCTTGGTTTGCACTTTCCACAAGTACTCGGAAAAGGAAGGGGACAAGAACACGCTGAGCAAGAAGGAGCTGAAAGAGCTAATCAAGAAGGAGTTGACCCTCGGGGCGGTGAGTGTGGCTGGAGATGGGGGTCACAGGTGTTTTAGGATTTGCAAGTTGGACTTGGTGAAAATCCGCCCCCAGAAAAAGACATCCTCTGTTATCGTCGTAAGCACATTAGTGACCTAGGCCAGCTCCCTGACTGCAGCTGGTTCTGCTGTGAGTGAAGGAGACGAGTTAGGTTTGGCTGCATTACATTAGTGCAGAGAGGCCCAGGCCAGAGCTGTACAAACGGGAGAGCCCCTGCCCACAAATGCTTACAACCTAAATAGACAAAGCGTAAGAGGGGTGAGAAGTGAGCTGCGCAAAGTCGCAGAGCTGGGACCAGACCCTGCGTCCCCACGTCCCATTCCAGAGCCCTTACCCACAGCCCATCCTGGAGATCTTTGCAGCTCTCTGTGAAGGCAGAAATACTGCAGCCTGGGGCCAGAGCCACCTCTTGTTCCACCCCCTCTGCATCACTGTGGCAGCTACAAAGCTGGCAAATCTCCTCAGGTAAGAATTCCCCAGTATAGTCTGCTCCTGCACCACCCGCCTGGTGAAGAGGGGTGTGTGTGGGCAGAGTGCCCCCCAGGAGCCATAGGTAACTGCCCCCAGGATCGGAGCTCTCAGGGCTGCCTGCTCGGTGACACCCAAAGTTGTTTGGGCGTCTCTTGCACTTTACACAGCAAAAAAACACGTGAAGAAACTATGTGGGGTCCCAAGTCACCACCAGCCCCCTTCCCCCCGCCCCAGCACCTGCATGCTAAACCAAACCATCAAACTCTCTCCTCTCATAGCAGTGATTGTGGGCTGGGAAAGGAGGCTTCTGGGAAATGTTAAACCCTGCACCAATGACCACCCCCCCCAATGCACCTGGCCCTGGGAACCCAAACCTTCCCCTCCATGGGTTGTGAGTGGCTTCTGTGCTTTCCTCTGGCTCTAGAAACTGAACGATGCTGAAATTGTTGGGCTCATGGAGGATCTGGACCGGAACAAGGACCAGGAAGTCAACTTCCAGGAGTACCTCACTTTCCTGGGTGCCCTGTCCATGATTTACAACGATGCTTTGAAGGGATATAAGAAGTAGACAGGCCGAAGCAGCAGGCCCAGCATGCTGGGGAATGGGCCCCGATAGGTCACGGCGTATCCAATAAAATTTTGTTTTGTACGATTGTTGCTGGGGTCTGTTTTTGTAAAGCTCAATAAATGTTGTTGGATTTTGAGAGGGTTTCAGGAGCTGGGCTCCAGGCGGGGCTGGGACAAACAGAACGAGCCAAATGAACGAGGTGTGGAGGGTTTAGCGGTTTAGTGGGTGAGGGCGGAAAGTCTGGAGAGGGGGATGAGCACTAGGGAGATGCTGCATCACTTCACCTGACTAGGAGGGGTCTGTGTCTCGCATGCACCAAGTCAGGGAGAGAAAGGGCTTGTCTAGACTGGCAATCTGGGGTGGGAATCCACCCCGAGCGAGCCTGGTGCAGACTAGGGGCAGCGAGCGAGGACTAGACCAGATGCGCTAACAAACTGTTCACACGCACCAGCTGGGCGCACACAGACACGCTGACCGTGGCAGGCTAGATTCACGCCCTGCCTCGGCGTGGTCTAATGGCTCACACGCCCTGAGCCTCAGAACGAGCTGGTGTCCACAGCCGGGCCTGGGAGACGCAGGGGACTTTCTGGGGTGGGTCAATCAGAGCCGACCCGCCCTTTTGGCCAAGAAGGACAGGGAGATGCCGACCCAGCCTTCTGCCTCGCCGCAGCGCTCAGGTGAGCCGTGGGAGCGGGTGGGGCTGCCGCTGTGTCACCATGGCAACAGCTACGCGGCAGGGCTTGGCTCACGCGCCTGGGGCCTTGTCCGCGTGTGTCAGGTGAGGGGGAGAGCTAGCTGCCGTCTCAGCAGGAGTCTCCCAGCCAGAGAGAAATCCAGCGCCATCCCAGGGCGAGAAAAGCCACCGGGGGCCGTTGACAAATCTGCCTTTAAAGGGGCCCTGCGCCCCCTTGGCCCTAGGGTCATGACTGCGCAGGATGCGGTCCCATCCTGGGCAGATCTGGGTGTCACGCTGGCAATGCTTGGCCCCAGCGGGCTCTTCAAACAAAGGAGTGACTCGTTCCTCCCTGGAATGCCGTGGTGACAGGCGACGCCTGCTACCATGATGGTACATGGCACTCGCGTAGAGCGAATGTCTGTCTAGTGCCATAAACTATTGATCTGCCTCCGGACACCCCCATCTAGCCAGTGAGCAATATTGTGCCCCCCCGCCCCACACTGTAGCTCTCTGGGCCAATCCACAGCAACCCCTAGGGCTGTGTATTTATCCAGCCCCTGTTGGCTGGGCTGGAGCTGTCTGTACTGGGCAGAGAGTAAACCTCGCAGAGGGAGGGGGGCGGTCCCAGCATAACGTCACTCGACCCAGGGCAGAGGAGTCATTACGAATAGGGATATTAGGGCTGCACAGCAAGGGAATGCTTCCTGCTTGTGAGATGGATGGTTCTTGTTTGTACGGCAGGAGAACCGACCAAACTCAGGGCCCCGTCAGGCCTGCTGATGTGTATGTAGGCCCAGTCCTGCCCCACAGAGCTTCCAGTGTAACGGACGAGACAGACGTGGGGTGGTGGAAAAGGAGATGGAGGTACAGAGACTTGAGCAAGGGGCAGAGCCAGGCGTAAAACCCAGGAGCCCTGTTTCCCACGCTGGACCAAGGGCTGTGGGACACGCTAGGGAGAATGCACCTGCTCTGGCCATCCAGTGGTTGACCTCGACTGTCTCTGACTGATCCCGCGCTGCAGCACCAGGCAGGTGAAAGCAGGCTGGAGCTGTGCTCGGACTCCCAGGCGAACAATGTAGCTTGGACGGGGCTCAGCTCCTGGCCGGAGATTCCAGGAGCACTCTAGGGTGTATTTCTTGTCAACTGCTGGAAATGACCCCCACCTTGATTATCACTACAAAAGGTTTTTTTTCTCTCCTGCTGGTAATAGCTCACCTTACCTGATCACTCTCATTAGAGTGTGTATCCTAACACCCATTGTTTCATGTTCTCTGTGTATATAAAATCTCCCTTCTGTATTTGCCACTGAATGCATCCGATGAAGTGAGCTGTAGCCCACGAAAGCTTGTGCTCAAATAAATGGGTTAGTCTCTAAGGGGCCACACGTCCTCCTGTTCTTTTAACCAGGGGCACGCGTACCCCTGGCAGGGGCGTGGAACAATGTGTGCAGTGCAGGTGATGAGAGCCACTGAACCAAACTGTAAACCCTGCATTTGATGGAAACCACTTCAAGCCGGGGGTGTGGCAGACCCCGCAGTTCCAGCACCTATGACCCCTGGCGTACGCAGAGATCTTCCAGGGGGTACATCACCTCAGCTAGAGACTTGCCTAGTTTTACAACAGGATACAGAAAAGCCCGAGCGAAGTCAGTACAAACTAACATTTCATACAGACAATGACTTGTTTAGACTGCTCTGGGTGCTATACACTGAAATGTAAGTACAAGATCTATAGTCCAATCGATTTATTTGATAATTAGATGGTAACAAGGAGGAAGTCAGCAGTTTGTCAGTACTAGTGAGCTATGACCCTCCTGTAATTTTATGTCTGATTTTGTAAGCAAGTCGTTTTCAAGTGAGGTGAAACTTGGGGGTACGCAGGACTGATCAGACTCTGAAAGGGGGACTGTCATCTGGAAAGGTTGAGCCGCTGGTGTAGATAACAGAACTCAGCAGCGGCACCTGGAGGACAAACCGGCTCACTACAGAGATGGCTGTCAAACTTTGCAGGGATGCACTTGCTCGATTGCCCCTTAGGAGTTAGTTTTAACACCACAGGGGCTTCCCTGGAGCTCTTTGGGCCTGATCCTCTGCTCCACTGAAGTCAATGCAGCTGCTCTGGTTTACGCCAGCCAAGGGGCTAGCCTTTTGCCATTGTGGTCTGGCCGGAATAAGCGTGTTTGTGGTATTCAGGTTTCGGTTGCCCCGTGAAGAGAGTTACCAGACAAAAGGCACCAGAGCAAAGATGGCAAAGGTGACCGCTAAACATCTGGGGCCCGCTGCCCTGCTGGTGTAAATCAAGGCAGCTCTATTGGGGCAGCGAATTCTCAAGGTCGCTGCGTGAATGCCCGGTTGCCAGGCGAACCAGCCTTGTGCCAAGCCTTGCCAACATCTCAGGATGTGGTTAGGAGAAGGCCAGCATTGCTGCGCTCAGATGCGCCACATAGCAATGAAAGCCAAGAGCACAACACGCATTCTTGCAGGACTGTCCTACTTGTGAGGGTATTGGCCCTGCTAAATGATCCCTGGAATCCCTCAGCCGAATATCCAGGACGGTGATCAAGCAGGTTCTCAGCCTCTCTCACCGCTCATTTTGCACAGTTAGGGCTTCAGCAGTGACCCAAATGGGCCTCTCTGGTATTGTTGTTCCAGCGGGAAGCCTCCTTCGCTGACATCAGACCCAGGGGTTCCAGGCACTCAACGTTACCAATCAGCCAGCCAGGGTCAGAGATCCCAGAGTGACACGTTCAGCACACACCAGGGTTTGTTTGTTCTTTGAAAACGGCCAGCAGAGCCGATTGCTCACGTACCCGGCACCATGCACAGGGAAGAGCAGCGTGGTCAGACCAGCTAACCGGAGCAGGAATGCATGAAACACACTGACGCTAACTCAGGCCAGCGTGATAACTCGGGCGTTTAAGTGATGCACACATAGTACTCTCGGCTAGAGCCTCAGCTGAAATCCATGGAGCTCCCCCCAGCTGAAGAGCCGGGCCTCTGAAACAGGAGACTTGGCCCCAAAAGTGACAAGCACCACTGGGCCAGAGAGATAGAGCTAGGCTGTTGCTGAGGATCTGGTCCAGTAGCTCTGCTAACCCCAACCGGCATCCCATAAAATGGTACACTGTTGCCAAGTTTTGTGATATTTGGTGTTTTTCTTTTAAAGCAGCAGCTCCTGGAGTCCTGTGATTACATGAGAACCGTCTTCTTCTTCTAGCCCTAGTCCTAACTATATGGGAGCGGGTCTTCCGGCCCTTCTTTGCCGTTCCAGTTGGTCTTGAAGTGGTCCCTCGTAAATTCTGTAGTTAATCACATTTTTTTATATGACATCCACCCATCTAGTTTTGGATCTTCCAACCCTTCTCTTACCCTCCACTTCTAAGTGTAACACCCTGTTTCCTATATGTTCTTCCACCCTTCTTGTCACAGACCCAGACCATCGAAGCCTGGATTCCTGGAGCTTTTCTATAATTGGGGCCACCTTCCCCCTTCCCTGGATTCCCAGGGTAAATGATTCTCCCTTGGTTCCGTGCGGCGGGGTGGCTCTGGGCTTTGCTTCCGCAGCCTCTCCAGGGAGCGGTCACCAGCGTCCTAATGCCCCACTCACGAAAATAGGCTGCAGCGTTGCCGGGTGCGTTGGCAGGGCCAAGCCAGATGCCGCCGGCCGGGAAAAATAATTAAAACCCACGGGAGGTGGAAGGAACTGACCTCTGGATCCCGGCACCTCAGTGGGGAGAGAAGCAAAGTACCCGAGGGATTGCCTAATGAGGGGAGATAAAGGAGCTAATTAAGGCCTCATTGTTTTTAGAAGCAGCAAGGTCCTGAAACCCCAAAAGGAGTCAATGCGTGTCAAGTGCTGGGTGCTGGGTAATTCCCTAGTGTAGACAAGGCCCAGGAGTGGGTGGATGATGGTCTATACATCCTTGGAAGGGGTAAGCAGGAAGGAGAGAGAGGTGTTATAAATGATCAGCTGCCTCCTGAGCACCCCTTTGTGGCCTGGGGTGGCGCTGCAGGGCCCTGCCTCAGTTTCCCCTCGCTTGTGGGGATCTTCCAAAACTTCACCCAGCCTGTCTCATTTTAAAACATTCCCCTTCAGGAAGAGGATCAAATTTATTTAGTCCCTACAAACATTGGTCTTCCAGGCCCCTTCAAGCACCAGTTCCATGGTTTGAATAGTTCTCTCAGCATTGAAGCAGGAGACCCCCGCCCTCCTTCCTGGAGCTGGGTTATCATCCAAGCCCTCCTCAAGCCAGCTGTGGCTTCACGCCGGTCACACGCTCCGCATTCTCCCCACCTGGGGAGGTGAGCGAAGCTGGTCGCAGGTGGGCTGGGGCCCGTCTCCCCTGACTGCAGAGACACGTGGCAGGAGACAGCCCCTGCCTCAGAGAGCTCCCGGCCTAGGTGGA